TTCCCCATAGCCCCTGCCCATACCTCCAAGTTCGTCCTGGCATGGGAGCTCAGCAGGCACATGACCAAGGACTCCATGGGGATCCCACACACTGCTGAGTCCAAGGCAGCTGCTGGGAGCCTGAAGCACAGGTTAGCAGAGACCATCGGTGACAGGGTCTCTGCAGACATCTCCCAGCCTCTTGTCAAGGTGTCCTGGTGGAACAGATGCAGGAGGTCACAGGCCAACCTGCTTCTACTGCCCTGCGTGGAGCTGCCATGGTTACAAAGGAATCCACACGAGTCTCCGAGTGATGGATCTGACCTGGATTCTTGTGCCCTGCCAGAATGGACTCTGAACAGCCTGCACAGAGGAGCCTACTGCAAGGGGCAGGGCCTTGGGCTAGAGGGCACAGGGAACAGTCCCCTGTGGAGGACAGGGAGGTGTTGAACCTGGCTGGAAGGGAAGGTGATCTGAAAGCCTTGTGCCATCCTTACCTGGGAGCACTGAGGAAGAGCAATTCTTGTCTCTGCTGCTGACTTCTCAAGAGCTCATCTGGGCTCCCTCCATCCAGCAAGCCCAGACTGGATCCCATCCCCAGAGGCAGGGCTGACCAGGACAGCAGGCTCTGGGCAGATGCTCCAGCTGTGGCTATGCCCCGCACCCTGCCCTCCTCACTGGCTAAGAAGCAACTTAACATATAAAAATAAATAACATTTCAGAAGGATCCCCTGCCCCCCAGCCACACTCCCACATGCAAGCGCAGGCACAGGTGTAGAGAGGACCAGACACCAGTCACTAGGACAAGATCCACTTTGGTAGTGCTGCCTGCAGGCTTGGTGCTTGGCTGGCAGTGCCATCTAGGCCTGTGGCTGGGATGTTCATGCAGACAAGGGCTCCTGCGGCAGGATGGTTGACAGGAAGCAAGCATCAGTCCCTTGGGTTCCCTGGCTCACAGCTGTGTCTGCCACACACTTTGGCAAAGGCTGGGAAGGCTAAAGCAACATCCTTTTGGGGTGTTCAAGAGACCATGTCATCAGGTTCCCTTCCAGTTCAGCTCCAGAAATCCCTGTATGCTCTCCAGTGGAGGTGGGTGGGTACTCACAGGCCTGGCAGAACTCCTGCAGTACAGATCCTCTCTGTTCCTGGTGTTGGTGAGATGGCACCTGTGACCCAACAGGTTCCTGACAGGCCAATGATGGGAGATGGCTGGCATAGCCGCACCCCAGGGGCCTCAGGACTTGGAATTCTTGGGGATGTCCAAGGTCTTTTCTGAACTCACTGATTGGTAACCAGGGCCCAACTGGTCCTGGCAGCCAGCCAGAAGGCACTTAAGTCTCCTGCAGAATTAGTGCATGTTCTGAGATGGGAACACCAGCCTCAAAGCCATTCTCCGAGGCCATAATCTGGGAGACTGCAGTGGCCAGCAGGGCACAATTATGCCCCACCTCTGCTCTAGGTCCTGTTGGCATCATCCATGAGAAGGCAGCTGCAGCTGCTGGGCAGGCCAGGGCACTAACACTCTTTGGGGCCCAGCAGGAGACTCTCCCTGAGACACTTAAGCTGCTCCTCCCCCAGCTTGATTTTCTCCTCTAGCTCCCGTTGCTCAATGAGGAGGGCAGACTTCATCTTGACAAAGTGCTGGTAGTCCTGTAGCTGCTCATCCAGCAGGTAGCGTGACACAATCTCATACACAACCCGCTCCCGGCGGCCCACGTGCTCCTTCAGCTCCTTGGCATCTTCCAGTTGCTCTGAGAGCTGCCGCTTCTTTTCAATCAGTGCTACCTGCAGGACAGAAGGGCGGAGGGGGTAAGCATGGCCTTCAGAGCTGCTGTGGCCTTGAGGTAGGACGTGAGGAGCAAGATTGGAGGTCCCCAAGACAAGACAGAATAGGGCCCAGCCCCACATAAACAACCCCCAAATAATTCATAGAAATGTTGGATTTGGGGAAGAAAGTTCAGGAGCTGGGAAACCTTACACACAACTCAGCTTTTACCCCTCAATCCTGCCCCACAGCCCTCTACCATCCCATCCCTGAGCAGAGACAACCCCCCATATCTGTGCTTTGCTAATGCAGAATGTGGTTGCCTAAATAACCAACTGCTGTCACAGGCAGTGTGGTCCTATGTTAGTTCCTGAGCGAACCATAATGATCTCCTCTGTAGATTCACCTCACCTTACTTGTTTCACAAATGCAGTTCCTGAGCCTAGACTGTTGGTGAACATGGTTGTGCACTGCTTAGTGCCTTGTGCAACCTGACTCAGAAGTACATGTAAGAGTCCTTGGGGAGCAACCTCAGAAGTGCTTCTTTTCTCCAGCATTTTCCATCCTGCCGTCAGACCCTCCCTGCTGCCTGTGACCCACCGCCCTGGTTCCCCAGCGGATGGCATGTGGCTGGTGATATAGCTCCAGCAGAGATGCAGGGCTGGGATACTCATGCCCATACTGAGGAAGACCTCTCTTCCATGTCTGCTCCTCCCACCTCACTCCTTCTCCCCCTTCAGCCTGCAGCTCCTGCCCCATACCTTCTCCTCCTCAGTGGCCTCAGGGCCCAGGCTGTTGAGCGCATTCTCCACACGTGCTAGGCGGCCCGAGAGAGACAGCAGCAGGTTGACCACTCTGTCCAGGTCCCCGACAAAGAGGCGAAACTTGTCCAGCTCATTGGGCTTGCAGACACCCTTGAGCTGGCTTTCCACTTCTTCACCCAGTGCCGTGTTGGCACTGATGTCATCCTGCAGGCCCCGCTGCGCCTCCTGCAGCACTGACAGCTTCCTGCTGAGGCTCTCGATGAGCTGTGCCTACATAGAGGAGGCGTGTTACACAGGAGATGGAGAGGGGGCTAGGAATCAGGGTGATGGGGTTCTCTTCCTAGCTCTGGGCAGGAAGAGGGGCCTAGCAATTAGAGCTGAAGCAGGGGGCTCGCCTGTGTTCTTTCCAGCTATGGGTGGGGTTTGAGTTAGGTAGGGGCTCTCTTGGGCTTTATTCTCTAAGCTGGGGAAGGAAGTGGCATCTAGTGGTTGGAGCAGGGGTACAGGACTTTGTTTCTATTCCCAGCTCAGGAGAAGGAAGTGCAGGCTAGTGGTCACAGCGAGGTGGGGGGGTCTGCTGGGTTCTCTTCCCTGTCCTTCCATGGGCCCTTGGCCAAACCCCACAGGGAGGATAAGGATGCCCCAGTGATCTCACAGGGGCCCAGCCACAGTGCTCCAGGCTGGACCCCATATCCACATTCATTCCCTAATGCCAGTGGAAGGTTTTCTGCCTGCAACTCTGGTTAGGGCAGAGCCTGCAGTATCTGTAACTGCCCCCTCTCACCTTCTTCTGTGCCAGCTCATGATCCACCTCCTCATCCTCAGAGGTCCCCTCTGCTGTGTCTGGCAGCTCTTTCATTTTGTTCAGCAACTCAGCCTTGCCCGCCGAGGTGTTATAATACGCTGAGTAGGAGGTGGGGCTGATGGCCCCACCTGGGGGAGGCGAGATGGGCTGAAACTCCTGCCTGCACCAACACAGGGCACCACAGGGGTTAGACAGAGACCTGATGGGGGATATCGCAGCACAGTGCAATGGAACCCACACTGGCAGAAGACCCCAGCATCCACACCCTCAGGAACCCCTGTGGCTCCTGCCTTCCAGGGCTCCTTCAATGCACATCTGAAGTCCTGTTCTGCCAGTGTCCTTAGTCCCTCTTGTCTCCCATTCCTAAGAGTCACAAGGGAAAGATTCACTGCTGCTATGTGCAGAGGCAATGTTTGAATGTATGGCCAGCCACAGAGGCTGCCTGTCCAATGATGTATAGGGACAGCAGCAACAAGGTCTAAAATCTGCAGGAAAGTGGAGGGCTGAGATAACTTTGGAGAGGAGTCAGGCTGAAGGAACATGGACAACACACAGAGATGTCATATGCTCCAGCCTCAAAGTCCTCATGCTGGTGGTGTCTGCATCTAGAGCTATTTACATCCTGAAATCCAGCCCCGCCAATGCCCACCAGCCAGCTTCATGCAAGAGAAGCTGAGATGCCTCCTACCTTTCATGGGCCACTGCCTCCCCCTGCTTCTCCAGCAGCCAGTCCTGCTGGCGTTGGTCCTTCCATGCCTGCTGATCCCCCGCCGAGAAGAGCTCACCCATGACCTTGGCTGTCGTCACCATGCTGGCAGCTGGGGTCAACACACTGGCCAGGGAGCTGTCCCTGCCAGCCACATCTCGCATCAGCTCCTCTGAGTCCATGCGGCAGGGGTGCTGCCTGCTTGTTACACCCAGCCGACAGGTCTCCAGCTCCACGTTCTCCGGGGCTGACTCCATCTCCTTGGGGGCTGCAGAAGGAGGCAAGGAATGAATGGCCATAGTTGGTATGTGGGCTCACTCTAGAGGAAGTCATGGGGAAGCCTCACTCACCCAGGCTGGGGGGGCTGGGCCGTGGCTGCTCGTGGCCCCAGCTGATCACTTGGTACTGCTCATCCTTCATAGGCCTTCCCTTATCCCACTGGGTCTTTGCCTTCACTCCCTCCTCTGAGAACCCATCTGGCCTTTAAACAGAGGGGATGAAAGTTATTGATAGCCCTTCAAATCCCCCCAGCCCCTCACATGCCGAGCAAGAGCCCTAACTTCAAAGAAGCAACTTTAGGCTGGCTGGATTCAGGAAAATGCTCAAAAACACAACTACATGCTTGACAGAGGAGTGTGTTGGACAATGGGCAATTGGGAGAGGCAACAAGTAAAAGCAACAAGTCCCACGTAGAGGCAACAAGTCCCTCAGGCTTGTGCCTCGCCTGGCTTATGTGAAAAAAATTCAGGACTCAGTGCCTGCTCTGGGTTTACGTGAGGCAAGCAGAAGGACGCAAGGGGTCAGCATCAGCATTCTGCCAGGGTGGCCACAGTTTGCTGCTGCCATTTTCTGATCCTCCCAGCTGCTAGAGGATTGGTATCCAAGGGGTGGCAGATAGGCAGTGACAGCCCAGCTCCTGCCCTGGATGGGGTGGGGAGGAGGTAGCAGTGCCAGGCTGGCTGGATCGCAGCCCCCACTCCTCCACATGGAAAACATCCCTCACTCTGGCTGAAATGGTGGTTGATGGATCAAGGTGCTTTTAGTTTGGCAGACACCTAACAAAGTGCTCCAAGCTCCTGGACTCAGGCCCATAGAAGGGGACTCCCAACAGGGTTGGGCATCTCCTCGTGACAGACCAGTGCATGTTTGCTCTCCATCTCCTAGAGAAATAGGCTCAGCCTCAGTCTGAAGTAGGACACGAGCACCTGGAGACCACTGCCATGAGACAAGCACAGCTTAGGGCCAATGGCAGCATCCAAAAACTACCTCTTGAGGTAACAAGTCCTGCCACTGCAGTAAGGACACCCCTGTTATCCTTCCTGTGCCAGGGGAGGTGGCAGGGGTGCATACTGTGGTGGGAGGGAAGAGACAGCAGGGATACTTGCCTAGGAGAGTCTCTGGTGCCCACATCTAGCCCTGGGAGCTCTGGTGTCCTCCATAGTGAGCTGGGGCAGTAATAGTGGTGGCTCCCCTGCTCTGGGGGCTGCCCAGTGCCTGTGGGGATGGTAGATTCCTGAGGTGGGGTGAACTGCACTCGACACTGTGAGGGGGCTGGAGGCTTGGCTGAGTCCCCATGGTGCTTGTCTAGGGGCAAGCTCTGGGAACGCTGCCTTGCTGCCTCTACAGAGCTTCGATTTTGCTGGTGGGACTGCTCCAAGGGCACTGCTGTGAAGGCTGAGATGGACCCTGAAGATTCAGGAGGGTAGACGTGGTAATGGGATGTCCGGCGAGTCCTGTACTTCTCCCAGTTGGGGGGTGGGGGTCGTGGAGGGGGTGGCCCTTTCTTTCTGGTTGGACATGGAGGCTCTGGCCTAGTCGCATCTAGCTTAGCTGAGGGGATGTCTCTTCTCTCCATGCGCCTGGGACTTGGAGGCTCTATGTTGAGGTGGCTTTCGGAGAATGCCCGTCCACGGAGTGGGCGATGCAGCAGCTCTGGCAGGCTCTCCTCATAAGCTGGGCTCTCCTGCCCTTGTGCAGCTTGATCACCGTCCCAAGAGAGGTCTAGGGAGGACGTGGCCCGGTAGCACTTGGGCCACTCTTGCTCAGAGCTCTCAAAGCAGGGCTGGAACGGCCCCCCCTTCTGCAAGCTGATCTTGTAGTGCGACAGTTCGCTGCAAGAGACAGGAGGGGGCAGACAACCCAAAAGCAATTCAATCACATGGTCACGTTTTGTGCCCGGCCTCAGCCTGCTCAGTGCTGCCAGGTGCTTGTCTACAAACAGGGTTACTGTCACACCCAGGGACTCAAAGGCCCAATTCCCTACTGTTAGGGCAACCCTGGCCCCTGGGAGCAACTCTAGATAGCAACAGCCTCCAACAAGGCCATGAATCCCCACCACTCTGTGCTGCAGGGCCCAGCCTATTCCACTCACTTAGTGCTCTGGGCCTCTACCTATCTACTGTAGGATTTCTATGTCCCCAAATCACAGTACCATCCCCTCCAACTCTTCTTCCCCCACCCCCACCTCAAGGGCTTCAGTGCCAAAGCTGTGCCCTGGGAACCCTGGCATGGGTAGTCTAAAGAGTTCTCAGGATACTTCCACTAGGACATCTGCATTTGAAACACCCCAGCATGAAACCAGAGATGGTGCGCAGTCACTTCAGGGGGACGTGTCTGTGATACTGCCCAACACCCGAACCTCAGCTGATCCTATTTCCAACCCACTGGACATATCCCTTCTCCAGGTGCTCCCTCCATGCAAGGTTTAGCTTGGTGTTCCAGTAGCCTAGGCCAGAAGTGGAGGTTGAAGGAAAGGAGGTGGGTGGTCAGAGCACCTGGGACCAGGGCTCCAGCAATCCCACTGACTTGCTGTGTGCTCCCATTCTAGGCTGACAACAACCCAGCTTTGTAGAGCCCTCAGAGTGACCAGAGGAGCCAAGCTCAACTAGGCCCCCATGTACAGCACTACTAGGCCCCCATGCCTTGAATGGAACTGGGTTTTTCTCCTCTCCACAACCTATCTAGGCCATGGATGACCTTGGTGCTGAACAGCAGCCCTGGGAACTGGAGCTGCTGCCCACCCCTGAACTACCTACTGCTTATAATGGACAAGATGGCTGCAGGGGTGAGCTAACTCTGAACAGTCTATTCTCCCCTCCTGCCCCCACAAGCCAGAGACAAAACTAGCTGCATTGGGAAGACAGTATTGCCTAGTGGATGGCGCTGTGGGCTGGCAGTCAGGAGCTGCCACTACCCTCCTGGGTGACCTTCAGCAACTCATTTCCCTGCTCTGTGCTTCAGTTTCCCCACCTGTACTGTTGATATACCAACTTACTTTGCAAAGCACTTTACAATCTACTGATGAAAGGCACTACATGAGAGCTGGGGATTTTACACAGACAGGGACTGTACTGCCTGCAATCTTCCAACCCATACCCCTTGGAAAACCTCTCTGCTTGCTGTGATGCTCAAGACTAGGCACACAAATCTTAGCCACAGGCATTCCCCTTCCCAGCAGGGTCCCATAATTGTCTCATACACATGCGTGCCACTAGAGCCCACAGGCAGAGAAGGAACAGCATTTATCCCACCCCTTCCCCAATTTGCTCCTGAAATCCAAGGAATAGCCAGAGTTTGCCTTTCTCTAGAGACGCGTGTTGACATCCCAGCTGCCCCCCTCCCTACCCTCACTTCTGTTTGCAATCCCAAACACTGAAGCTCTCCCTGCAGTGCTAATGTGGGAGTGCCTAAAAAGAACTGGCTCCCTTTCCTCTGGCCGTAGCCTGGCTTCTGCACTGCCCCTGGCCCTCAGGGCACACAGCAGAGGAGGAGCTGGAGTTGCGCTGCCCCAGGATCCCACAGTGTGCCCCAAGGCGCACATGTAGCCACTGCCACCATGGCTCACAGCAGGCAGCAGGCAGGCTGTGAACAGCTGCACCAGGGTCCAGAGCCCTGTCTGTCTCTGTGGTGACAGCAGCTGCACACGCACCTCACGGCACACAGCAGAGAAGGGGTTGGGGTTGCGCTGCCCCAGGGCCCTTCCCTGCCGTGTGCCCGGATCTAAGCGTGCAGCTGCTACCAGCCATGGGGCTGGGCTGGAGCTCTGGACCCCAGTGCACTGGTTGCAGCCTCCCAGCTGCCTGCCACATCCATCCCAGCTACCTGCCACAGAGCCTAGGCTCCTCACAATGTGGCCTGCAGTCACCCTGTCACCTGTGTGGTTGGCAGCAGCTGCCCATAGCCACAGCCAGCTGTGGTGTGCAGAGCAAAATGTCCTCATGTGTCATGCTCTGGCATGTGTGCTGGGGTTGCCAACCCCTGCTTTAGGAGATGATGCTAGATTGCTGTGGGGAGGCCATGGCTTTCATGTACTAGGCTTCAGTGTCAACAGGGTGTGCTGGCATCTTTAGAAACAACAACGTAAGTCTGATTTCCCCTCTGAGATGCTCCACCTTACATTTCCCCACCTGGGAAGAACACCCTCACTGTTAAGCCTCATCCAGGCATCTCCTCACTGGGAAGGTCCCCAACAAGAGGCACAGCCTTCAGACACGAGGCCTGACCTACTGGCCATTCACCAGACACCAGTTCCTGTTAAAGAACCATTTGCTGCACATAGCCTCCAGCAAGGGGCCTTTCCGCTTGCTAAGAGGGCACAAACAGAGGGGAATCTGCCTTTGTTGGGCAAATGAATACCTATAAAAAAGGAAAATCCAAGACAGAAAAATCTTACACTGGGGAAATCTCATTTAAAAGAAAAAAACCTTGAAGAGGAAGCAATCACTAAAACACATACCACAAACAGTCACCCAGCTTCACTAAGCCTTCTAAAGCCACGCAACCCCCATGGGACAGATACAGCCATGCCAATGTGCTTATTACTGGCTGAGTTGTCTGAACCTCCTCCACTGACCCTGCCACCTCAAATTCCTCTTTGCCTCCACTTGCAGGCCAAAAGTGTGTCCCTCTGCATCTCATCTTGATGTAGAGACTGGAGGCACCACCACCTCCCCTCTGCTCAATCTATCAGTTCCACCCTCACCACCACTGCACACAACAAAGCCTCAGCTACCTACAGTAGAGAAGCCAGACAGCCCTACACTTTATCAGTCACTCTCCTGACACTGGGGAGAGATCAGAGCCCACAAAGCTACCACACCATGTCCACTGCATGCCACACATCCTTGTCATACATGCCAAGGCACTGAGAAGCAAGGGCCACCACAGAAACCCCCTAGCCTAGCTGTAGATTCACAGGATTTAAGGACAGCATGGACTATTACATCACCTGGTCCAACCTCACATCTCAGTGATCATAACCCAGTTACCCCAGTAATTTATCCCATTAATATACATCTTTTGGGGCCTTCAAGTGCTATTGCAATCCAGACAAATGCTCCTAAGCATGCTAGCATGGACAGGAACATTGCATGTCCAGCTAATGAGCCACATTTTCCTGCTCGTGTTTTCAAAGTGTTGAATATCACTTAAAATGCTTAGTCCTACATCTCCGTCACCAGGATGGGTTGCAGTGCAACGAGGCAAAAGGCAGAGTTAAAGTTCCTGGCATTCCCCTAACGCTGCTTTTACCATGTCAAGTATTTGGGCTTAAACAAATTTGAAATTGAATCTGAAAAGGTTTGAACAAGCAGGTGCCTAATTCAAGGCTCCTGAATCTATCTTTAGGCACTGAGGTTGGGATTTTCCAAAGATTAATGCTCCTAAATCACTTGGGAAATCTATTCACTCAATGCCAGGACCATTTCCAAGAGCACCAGAGGATTGTTGTTTCAGTGGCAGTTGTCTGGAAGCATATGTGCACACTGGGAAGCTTGTGGTGACAGCAGCTGTTTGGCATCGCGCACACTTGAAAAAACAGCTCTATTAGGTGCCAAATTATGGATTTAAAGGACCTAAATTGAGGCGTCTACATCTGGAAACCTTGACCTTAACAACCTTCAAGGCCCTTCCTGTGCTACATCGCTACTCTGTGCTCACAACCTTAAAGGATTTGGTTTGGGAACTTATCCAAGCTCTTCTGCCTTCAAAATAAGCTAAAAGGCACTGTGCTCAGCAGGCTGGATGCTTGCCTCAGTTCACTGGAGCAAGGGACAGGGTTTCTGCTGAGCTGCTGTTCTGTAACTTTTCAGTAACACCCCAGAGAAAATCCTGGCCCATAGGAAATCCCCTGCCTCCAGCAGAAGCATAAATGGAATCTCTTAGCAGGGCCAGCAGCCTGCCTGTCCCATCAGCATCCAAACGCATGAAATCCCAGGAGTCATTATGGAGGCCACTTATTTTGGCTTCTGCAATCCAGATTGTCTGAGAAAGGGTCAGAGGGCAGGGGGCTTTGAACTCTTGGACACAAACTCCAAGCCACTGGTGTTCCTGACTGTGCCAGAGCTGGATTAAAAGTGAGATTTTTTTAGCCTGCCACTGTGCTGCTATGAGTTGGAGGGTTTGTAGATGAGTTCAAAAAATCCACTGGATTTGCTCAGGTGCTGATCCCTTCCACATGTGCAGAGCTGCACCATTACTCTCAACCATCCTATGGCATCTTTTCTGTACCCATGAGTGATGGTCCCATGTTGACCATGGGGGCAATAAGAATTGCTTTCCTCAGGACAGGTTCTTCCCTGGATAGTACCATGCACAGGTGCATGTAGGGCTGGGCAGCAGCATCCTATGGGAAGGGCAAGCAGGCCAGATGGAGCCCGCTTCTTCCAAGCTGCTTGGAAGAGCACCCAGGGTAAGGCAGCACCACTGCTCCTTGGGGCCCAAGCAGTCCAGCTGGAAGCGGGAGCCGAGCAGCACACTGGGATGATGGGGCATTGGTGACCCTGCTGGGCCATCCCAGCCTTGGCTTCTGCCTTTAGCTTTTAATCAAAGCAAAAAATCTGCCCCTCACCCAAGGTACCACATCAAAGGCTTCCTGCCAAGTGGGGAGTCAGTCCCCCATCCCCCAGCCAGCGCCTCTTACCTCACTGACTGGCTGGCCTTCCTGTTTATCGCTGCGGGCTCCCATTCGTCCAGAGGAAATTCCTGCAAAGAAAAATCAGATGAGCAAGAATGCCAGGATAAGTCTGTGCCCCTCCCCCATGTGGCTGCTTTCCCACTCCCCCTGCCCCAGACACTGCTGTCTGGCTCAAACCTCAACCTTACTCCACACACTGCCTTCCCCTATAATTGCTCCCACCTTGGGAAGCAGAATGGATGGGAGGCAGAGGTGGGGGGACATTTATACCTTTCAGCCCTCATGGTCACGCTCTGCCAAAAACAGCTTTCAGATGGGAGCAGGTCTCAGCAGGGAGATGCATCCTTCTTGCTGCTAATGCCCCCCTTGCTAGTCATAAACCCATTCAGCCTATTTGCTGCCCCTTGTCCGGATTTGACTCCCACAGGGCCATGGGTGGCACTGCAACAAAGACCTTGCCCAGCTCAGCTGGGTCTGCACCACGATGTCAGGGTTCGCTGCAGCCGAGGCAGGCGGGTGTGTTCCCTACAGCACAGCAGCCCGGGCAGGTCCCATCACAGCCCAACAGGTATGGAGCCAGGCGGGGCACAAGCAGGAAAGCAGCACGCAGGGTGCTGCTGGGAGCCAAAAGCTCTCTTTCTGCTTCACAAAGCAAACATGTACCTCAGAGCACCTGAGCATTTAGGCTCTGAGTTGGACCTGGCAGGGAATTGCACCTCCAGAACCTGAGCTGAAAGCCCCAAGAGAGGCTCTGCCCCTGCCTTGCCCTGGGGCCAGGCCACCAACCAGACAAACTGACTGAACGACAGCAACACACTGCCAAATCTAGCATCACATGCCAAAGCTAGTGCAAAAGCTATAAAGCAGCTCAGAAAGCAATGCTACCCCATGGCACAGGGAGTTCTGCAAACTGTATAGCCACCTCCAGCCATTAGTGCTAAGGAGCTGCAGCAGCTTTAAGAACTGCCACACTCCCAGACCCCTTTCACTACACAGGAGCTGTGTCAACATGAGATATTTACTACACAGTAGACTAATTAACTGTGCAGTAAATGTCTTGGTGCACCTCTATTAGGTTGGAGTAAAGTAATTTACTCCACAGCAGCACATGTGTAGACACTGCCCCAGCTGGCTGAGGCTTAAGTATGCTTCAGTGCAGGGGCTGCCTGCAGGCTAGCCCCACACTGAAGCCCTCATGCCACAGCTACCCCCTCCACAGCATGTGGAGCCAGGGGAGCAGCCCCGGGCTGGCAGGCTGACCCCCTGGGCTTCCTGCCAGCTGGGGCTGTTCCAACCTGGCTCAACATGCTGCAATCCCAGGCCCACATGCAGATGCATGCCCAAGAACAATAAACTCTGGAGTAATAAGCTGTGGAGTTTATTGCTATATATTAATAGGCATATGTAAATGCACCCAGGGAGGACACGTTTATTGGCTCAACACATGGTTTCATTATGTGTGAATAGTGTATTTGTTCCAGGCACGTGCCTACAGCTGGGTACATGCACCTGCCCCAGGGCACCTGGTGCTGGCTACAGTAGAGAAGACCCTGGATCTGAACACCCCAACAGGCATCCACTATACTCCACAGGCCACTTCTGATAAAGGAGGCATTTGTTTGCCAGGGCTATTGCTTCTCCCATATTGTGCAGAGAGAATAAAATGAGAGCTCCAAGCACAGCAGAATCTGTCCAGTGACCCCACAGCAGTCCTTCTAGATATAAAAACATCCTGATTTCCAAGTCAAGATTCAGTTTTCTGTAATGACAGCTACAAGCTCAGCAACCTCCCCTGAGGGTGGAAGCTACTGTCTCCTGCCCTACAGGGCCAGCACAAGGCAGACTTGGAAGCAGAGGCATAGCTGGGATTCAAGTACTGCATTCCCTGCTTTATACCCGTCTCTCGCTGTCCCTGTTCTCTGCTGTCTCAGCCCCACTGCAGGTGCACAAACTGCAATGCCTCGCTGTCCCCAGCTGACCAGCATGGGATCAGCACAGATGGGCTCCAGAGGAAATGCCCCCTGGCTAGTAAAGATCTCTCACAGGTGGGCAAGTATAACCGGGTGCAGTGGATCTCCGAAGCAAGGGGTGGGAAGGGACACGTCTTGGGAGCTCAGCACAGACAGGGACTGTTTGGAGGCTCAGGGGCTGGGATGCCAGAGGCTGTCCCCAGAAAAGGCAGATGAGTATGGCAGGTATCATGGTCAATAGCAGGGGCGGGCAATTATTTTGGGCAGAGGGCCACTTACTGAGTTCTGGCAAGCAACTGAGGGCCACATAACAGGCAGCCCAGGGCAGATAACTATTAATTTTCTAAATTTTTTAGGGGCCCTGCGGGTTGGATAGAATGGCCTGGTGGACTGTATCTGGCCCCTGGGCCACATTTTGCCCACCCCTGGTCAATAGCATGCGATAAACTACACCATCCAGGCCTCTACCTCCATCTGCACTGTGTGCAACAGACAGAGGTAGCCAACGGCTGCCTCCAAGTGATCCTCTGGCCATCAAGAGCCCAAAGGCACTGTCCTGCACTACAGAATCTGTCCTAACCCCTCACCCCACTCACCTGCACTCTGCCCACAGATCAGCCACTTCTGACCTATAACAGCCATGGGAGAGAATGCCTCCTGCTGTCCTGTGAATGCCACAGCAGCAGAAGTGGAGGCAAAGGTGAGGAGAAAGTGGGAAAAAGATGCGATTCCTAGCAATGCCGAGCCTTGAGATAGGCAGATCACATCAACTGCCAAGCCCTAAGCCTCCTGACACACACGCACGCATCTCCCCAAAGGGGCAACTCATGCTGCTGTTGCAAGGCCCAGGCCCTGGAACAGTCTGCTCTGTTCCTGCAGATGCAGGAACTTGCAGAAAATGGAAGTTTTCTTGCCATTTTCCAGTTGGTCTAATAAACGGTATCATTTTGGAACCAAGAGTTCTAGTTTTTTGTATGTCTTACCGGAATGAAGCTCTTTTGCAGAGGCCAGGGCTCACTCTCCTCTATGACCTTGTGTGAGGATGGGCAGCAGCAATCAGAGCAATGTGCCCATGGGTGGGGGTGGCAGTGGTAACCATGGTGGGTGGTCTGCATGTTCCTGGGGACCAAGCCAGGGCACATGTCCCTAGAGCAGTAATGGCAGGGCTCATGAAGCACTGGCCCTGGCACAGTGCAGGTGTAAGGAAAGGCCCGGAGGTATTCAAAGTCTCTGTGCCGTGTGACAGGCTTGTAGCACACAGGGGAGTCCAGGCAGCATTCAGGGCAGGCAGCAGCATTCTGCTTCCCGGGTGAGAGTGGTGTGTAGGACTGGTCCATGGAGTGGCGCCGCAGGTCCCAGCGCTCCACATCCACAGGCTGGAAGGTGTTGGACTCTGCTGCTTTGGGCCGGAAGCTAGCTAGCTTCCTATGCCAGCCAGGGTGGTGGGCTCCAGGGACAGACCGGCTGCTCTCTTCAAAAAACTTTCTCCTGTCAGCAAAGGGCAGGAGGACAGCATCCTCGGGCAGCCGTGGTGGGGATACTGGGGCATCTGGGCCCTTGGTATACACCTCAGTCTCATGAGGGCTTGGGGAGTCCTGAGGCAGGTGAGGCTGCAGCTTGTGCTCCGGAGACCACTTCCACCGGCGCCGGCCTGCCAGGGCCATTGGCTTCTCCTTGTCAGGAGGAGGTGGGCAGGGGCCCTTCCTCACAGGCTCTGGCACTGGGATGTTCCTGTCTGTCAGGTGCCTGGGGCTCCTGTTGGCCTCCTCAGTAGACGCCACATCTGGCTTGGGATTGAGGGGCTCTGGTCTGGCTCGAGCCATGCTGGTTGAGCTCCTGTCTCCTGGGCTGGGCACTTGGCTTTGCACAGGGGGAGAGGGTGCAGGGGCAATAGGGGACGCCGGCCTGGAGGGGGTGCTCTTGGAGGGCTCAGTCTCTTCCACCAGTTCCTCCCCGTGCAGCAAGGTTGAGGAGCCCTTGCTTTTCTGGAGCTGGGCTTTTGTCTTCTGGATCTCATTGCGCAGATTGGTGGCAAAGCGCTCATTCCTTCGCCGCATATGAGCTGAGCGGTGATGGGAGGGGCCCATCTTTCTATTGGCTGGCTTGCTTTTCTCATGCTCTTTCCCCTCTCTTGCCAGCATCTCAATACTGCAGCCAGGCATCAGGCTGGCAGACCACTGCAGAGCAGCTGGCTCCCCTGGCTCACCACATGGCCTCTCTGGCTCTGGGGAACACCTGTAGGGTGACTGGCAATGCCCCGCATCCTGGGCTGAGCCTGCAGAGCACTGGGATTCTGCAGCATGGTCATTAGCCCACTCCTTGGCCACAGCTGGGTCACCACAGGGCGGGTCTTTGGCAGCCAGGGGGCACCAGATTGGGCTCTGCTGCTCTGAGTGCAAAGGGGACACAGTCCACTGGTGCCCATCCTGAACAGGCAGCACCTGGGAGTCCTGGCTGTCACTGGCTACTTCCAGAGAGTGCAGCTGGGATGCCAGAAGTTGCTCAGGGGCACTGTGCCGGTGAGCCATGTGCCCTTTCCAAGGAGAAGGGGGCAGATCACCATTGGCTGTTACCTCCGCCATGGCACTTCTGTCCTGATACAGCCCATGCATCCCTTGTGGATGCTCCAAGCTCTCTCCCATAAGCTGCTCGGTGGTGCGCTGCTGCCTGTCTGGGTGGGAGCTCAGCATGTAGTACTGGTCAGCCGAAAGACGCTCCTTTGGGTAGCCTGGGCACATCCCCAGAGCCTGACCACAGGGCCCCTCGTGCTCTTTGTCATGCAGCGACAGGAAGGTGTCTGAGGTCCACCGGCCTTTGAGCTGCATGGAGTTGGGTGGGGCAGACGCACGACGTTTGTCTATGCCAGGTGGCTGCGGGTTGGAAACCCGAAGGCTGTCTCTCCTTGTGGGGGGCTGGGGTGGGATGGGTGCTTTAGAAGAGCTTGAGAAGTTGCTCTCGTGAGGGCAAGAAGATGGTCTGGAGTTGGGTGCTGGGTGGCCACCTAGCTGGTGCAAGCCAGCTCTGCCTGGGGATTCGGCCCCATCTGTGCCTGTCTGCAAGTAGCGCCCATCGTGGTGCTTGCAGGGGCCTAAGCCCTGGAGGATGGAGTCGGTGGAGGAGGTCTCCTCAGGCCGCAATGACAGGGCATAGTCCGAGGCGTTGGAGCTGGCTGAGAAGGAGCTGTAGGCTGAGTCCCTCTTGTTCTGGTACAAGCTCTGGTCAATTGGGGAGAGATGGCCTTCGTAGTAGGCCTGGCTGGGCTGGTCCAGGCTCTCCATGCTCCCAATGGAGCTGCTTTTGTCAGTGCTGCAATGGCGAGAGATCTGGTTCCACTGCAGAGACAGAGCACTGTGGGGGAAGGGGGAAGAGAGGGGACAAGCATTAGGGGCTGTCTGGCAAACACCTTCTCCTCAGCCAAACCATGTCAAGAGCAGAACCCAAGGTCCTTGGCCTACTAACTGGAACATGCCCCGTCTCCCCCCACAAAGACCAAAGTTACACCCCTCTGCTCAGCCCAGAGCATAGGGCCCTGCTGCCAGAGGCAAGGGTGAGAGGCACTGCTGGTGAACACTGGAGCCAGCCAGTGATGCTTGCCATTCTGCAAGCTGAGGTGAATATATTGTGAGCTCCAGATCCTCTGCCACTCCCTGGCCAAGACAAGGACTCCTGTGTCAGCTGCTCCACTGCAGGTACAGCACCACACAACAAACTTTAAATCACAAACATCAGGAACCAAAAGAGTATCTCACACCCTCACCAGGACCAGCACTGAGACAGAAGTGTCTCTTCCTCCCCTGCCACAGCACCACTGTCACCCTCTTACCATAGCATCCCCCCAAGATGCCACATGGGTCTAGGCTGGCATGAACGGCCCAGGAACTGGCTCCCTGGAGATGTAATCTGGTGTCAAACCCAGTTCTAGGATTTCATGTACATTAGGTCAAATGATCCCAGCAAGATAAGCATCTAAGTGTTTCTTGAAAGTGTCCAGAGTAGGTGCATGTACCACTTCTGGGGAACTCTATTCCAGGCTCTGGGGACATGGACAATAAAGTTTTTTCTTATGTCCAGCGTAAAATAGTCTTCCCAGAGTTTGTGACCATTAAACTTTTCTTTCCTTGGGATGCCCTCGTGAACCAACACTCTCTCAGCTCCTGAAACACACCCCTTACATACCTATAGGCAGCCACTAAATCCCTCCTGAGCCTTTGCTTCTCCAGGCTGAAGAGTCCCATGCCTCCCAGCTTCTCTTCATAAGGTCTGCTTTCCTGACCTCTGATCATGCATGTGGCTCTCATCTGGACTCTCTCAAGCTTCTCCACACCCTTTCTAAAGTGTGAAGCCCAGAACTGGATGCAATATTCCAGCTGCGGTCCCACCAGGGCAAAGTAAAGTGGGAAAACTACTTCCTGGGTGAGCTGGTGCAGCTCCAACCACCTTGGTGCCTCACCTTTACCCCAGCTCTGAATTCAGCCCTGGTGCCTGACCCTTCTGCTTAGTGGGAACAGAAGAATTTGTAGCTGAAGGGAGCCTGTGGGCCTTTTCACTGATGCTGGTGTGAAAGCAACAGCTGGCTGGAGGTGAGCAGGACCCCAGCAGAAAGGCATGCAGTGTGCTCTCTCCCACTCCACCACAGGACTCTGGGGTGATCTGGCATTCTTAGCCTTCCCACTTGGCCAACAGAGCTGGAATTCATTAGCTCCTTTGCTGGCAAGGAATCCTGTTCCTCCATTGTCACCACCCTTCCTGCTGAGAGCAGGATCAGAGCTCTGACAAAACAAAACCAGAGCTAAAAACAGGGAAATCTTCCACTGGGGAGAAAAAGAATCAGCCAACAAAAATCCAGAGAGCCAGGTTACTCTGCTTAGACAGATCTTGGGTGCTCAGCCCAGCTCAGAGACCTCTGCAATCCTTTAGCAATGCCCCAAAACACCCCATGTGGGAGGCATAAGTTTGGCAAGAATTGGATCCAGCAAGAGAAAGAACACAGGGAACTGGAAACAATGTGGTACCAGGCAGAAAATTCCAGGGCAAGATGAACACAGACTATAAATACTACTCTAGAGAGATGGACAATGAAACAGCCTAAAGCCCTCTATGGGACAGCAGTGACTCGGCTTTCCCTTGGACAGAACTCCTTACATACCTAGCCAGAGAGAGAGAGAGAGAGAGAGAGATGGAGAGTGCAGACAGGTACTTTTAAAGGCAAATAAACGCTTCAGGGGAAGTTGCAATTAGTGCTGCCAAGCCCAGGGAATTCAGAGGTGAAGGTCACATCCAACAGAACTCTAGAGAGGCTCAGGTCTGCTTAGGGCAGCCAGTCAGCCCCACCAGAGCAGAGACAGAAACAGTGTCAGGCATCTTCATTGGATCTGGGGCTACACATGCATTGGTGGTAACCATGTAATGATAACTAGTGCTTCAAGATGGGGCCCTGAGTGATGCTGAAGACTCAGAGGGGCTGAGGGCAGAAGGTGATGGTTGCATTGGGAAGGTGAGTTTTATAGGCAAGTGCCCCCCAGCATTGCACCCCAGGACTTAGAGTGAACAGTTAACGAGATCCCCACCCCCAGTACCCACAGAGCCTGCATGCCCCAAATTGTGACCACTATGTGAGCAGCTCCAATAAGCCTAGTCTATCTAGAATAGGTTGGAGATGGAGGTTCAGGAGCACCATGCCAATATAAGACCCCACCACGCAGGTGCCCAGGGACTCACCTGGCATCACATCCTGAGTGCCAAGACAGACTGAAGGCATCCGAGGGACAGTGCATGGTGGCAGACTCATTCCGGACCTCTGAAAACTTAGCCAGGTGCCATGAATGGGGCCTGATGACGGGCACGTTCCTCCTGCCAAAAGCAAAAACAGAATGACAAGAATGGAGAGGAAGCTGGCCTGAGGAACCAAGGCTGAAGTCACTTCCTGGAGAGCTTCCCGTCTACGCCAAGAGAGGAGGAGAGGGAGGAGGGCTCCATATCAGGAGGCACGAGGAGTTCCCTATTATGTCACCGGTTTCTTCAGGACATCCCCTCCCCAAACAGACTGGGGTGCTGAGGGCAGGAAGTTCCCTGTTATGTCACTGGCTTCTCTGGGACATTCCCCATCCCTGCCACTGAGGGGGCTCCCCAAGCCCCAGATGTCCCCTGACTGGTGACCCTTACATACAGTGTGACACTAACCCAGCCCAGCAGAAAGGATGTAGCCAGCACGAGGGAGTTGCTGCTCATCTTACAGCATGCTCTTGGACACCACAAGGGTTCAGGACCTACAATGAACCCCCTCCCCCTTCACAGCTTGGAACCACCCCTGCTGCTGCCTCTCCATGCCTACCACTGCAGTGGGTGGGGGGCAGAGATGAGCAAAGCTTCCCACTGTGGGGTACAATGGGAAGAAACTTTCTCCCACCCCCAGCAATTAGAAAAGGGGCCATCACCATATGGTTTATCCTCCCTACACCCCCCCATGGGCATTAATTAGTTTGTTGCCAAGAGTGTACTACTAACCCCTACACACGCATACATATGTGCAGGCCAGTTCTCTTTATCCCAGTACCAAGGTGAGATTTGTGATATTCAGCATATCCTTATAGCATCAACTCTCAGACACAAAGAATTCTGTACAAACTTCAGCTTTTACTTGGAAAACAGTTAACTTTCTCACTGATATTTTGGAAAACATGAGCACAAAATGCTCAGACAGCAGGAGACTGAAAAGCAGCCCCAGCTGGCAATCTGTAGGTCTGAAAATCTCAAGATTTCTCCACGGATCTCATGATTTCAAGGATCTGACTCACAGAGCTGGAAGAGCCACCCACAGGCACCCACGCACTTGCTGCACCACTCTGACCCACACCCTCTGCAGGCATGACTTCAACAGGCGGGCCAACCTGGAAAAAGCTAGCTCATGCCAGGAAGCCAAGACAGTGCCCTAAATTCAGATCTCAGCCACCTACTCTGAGAAACTGCCTGAAGCCTGGAAGCCCCAGCTCTAGAGTTCAGAGCCTGGCTCCACCTTGCCCTAGCATGGGCCTGGCACTGCAATCGGCTCTGCTGGGATGGAGCAGGCACGGAACCAGGCAATCCATCCCTGTGGTTCACAGCTCTGCACCAGCCCTGGGGGGAGCATGCCTGTTGTGGCAGGAAGCCACTTTTGTTTCTCCCCAAAATCTCTGCCCTGTGACAATGTGATTAGGATGGGCCCAGCAGAGGAGACACACCTTACCCTATTCTCTTTAGGTAACCTGAGCTGGATACATCCCTGAGGGAGGGGGGAAACCTGCTCCCTCTGCCTACCTGACTGGTATCAGCTACCTGAGTGAGGGGCATCTACCTGGTGGGCTAGAGTCTGCCCAGCAACTAGTGATATATTTCAAATTGGTTGGCCGACAGCCAACAGGTGCTGGCCTCCACTGGACCAGGTGAACGAGGTCACAGGGGCTATATAAGTTAAGACTGCCCAGGAGGAGGGGGCAGCAGCCACGTGGGGGACTTGGACTTAGAGAGGAGTTTTACCATCTGAAACTGGCTCTCTCCCTCATAACTCATGAGCTAGGAACAGCCTGCCTTCAGAGGGAATCTCCAACAGCCTTGGGATGATACTTGTGAGTAAGCTACTCGAGACCTGATTAGATATATAGCTTGCAGTAACTCAGATGCGTGATCAACTGTTTTGCTCTATGGGATTTCTGATATTGCTGTATCA